TCCCGGCTGTGTACTCAGGTACTGTGCCGACGCTCTGTGTGGACCCTTGCTTAAACTATTCACCCTATCCATTAACTCTTCATGCTTCCCCCCATCTGGAAGGAATCTTTTATTATTCCGCTCCATAAGAAAGGTAGCAAGTCTGATGCAAATAATTATAGAGGTATATCTAAGTTATCCGCTATTCCTAAAATGTTTGAAACAATTTTAACTCCGCTCTTGCAACATCTCTGCAAATCACTTATATCTCCGTCCCAGCACGGATTTAGAAGGCGACGATCAACAACCACAAATTTATTAGAGTTTACCTTTTACCTTTTATCATTAAAGGCTTTCAAGGTAACTTGCAGACGGATGTCATTTACACTGATTTTAGTAAAGCATTTGATTCTGTAAACCATTCCCGTTTAGCACAAAAACTTGACCTTTTAGGGTTTCCGCCTAATCTTTTGAGATGGATTTCTAGCTACCTTTGTTCTAGGTCTCAAAGAGTCCTCTTCAAAAACTCCTTCTCTTCACCTGCTAAGGTTACTTCTGGAGTACCACAGGGCAGCCATCTAGGCCCCCTACCATTCACACTCTTTATTAATGATCTGCCTTCAGTATTAACAAACTCTCGAGTACTCATGTATGCGGATGATGTTAAACTTTGTGTCCAGTATAAGGACATTTCATTTCACTCTCGCTTGCAATCCGATCTCAATAACTTTCAATCATGGTGTTGTGCAAATATGTTAACCTAAATGCCTCGAAACGCAAAGTAATGACATTTCATCGCTCCAGCCCCCTATTGGCTCCTTATAGCCTCTGCGGTGGTTCTCTTGAGAGAATTACCTTGGTTGATGATCTTGGTGTTAAATTAGACCCAAAGTTAAAGTTTTCTGAACACATTTCTACCATGGTAAATAAGGCCATGGGTGTGCTTGGGTTTATAAAGAGGTGGTCAAAGGAATTTGACGACCCCTATATAACGAAGACTCTCTATATCTCGCTTGTTCGTCCGATTTTAGAATACGGCTCTTGTGTATGGTGCCCCCAGTACAAAGTACACCAGGACCGTATAGAATCAGTCCAGAAAAACTTTTTACTTTTTGCTCTGCGTGGCCTTAACTGGGATGCAGGTGTGAGACTGCCATCTTATCCTCGTAGATTGCTTTTAATAAACCTTCCAACCTTAGTTAGTCGTAGAAAAATGCTTGGTGTGATTTTTATGCACAACCTGATCAAGGGTGATGTAGATAGCCCTGACTTGTTGAGCCGCATAAACTTTACGATTCCTATTAGATCTACTAGAAACTTCATTCCTCTTTTCCTTCCGCTTTGTAGATCGAATTATTCCTTGCACGAACCATTTAGGGTACTTTGCTCGGATTCCAATTCCCTCTACCACATAATATCAACTACTAATTCCCTTCCTCTTCTTAAATCACTAATACTAATATACCTTTCCCGTAATTAGTTATATTTTTTAGCTATCTTTGCATGTTTAGAGCTTAGAGTTGTGTTTAGCTCTAATTTTCCTCGAATTTTAGTCTAACACCTATCTTTCCTCCATGCTCGCGATCGGTTCGGTAACACGCGTCGCGCGTCATACGGCAGCGCCCCACAAATACAATATATATAAAAAAATTGGCACCTCCTTACTGCGGCTGCATTGGTGCAGTAGGAGGTAGGAATACACCTCTTTTACTGAAAATGTGCTGGTAGTGGCTTGATTACCATCAATAGCTGATAAAGTTTACCGATCAACACTGTGACTTCTCCCCAGACTCTTATTTACCAACAAAAAAATTATGTTTCAAACAGTTAACGCCGCAAGCCCCAAATCTATCAGAAAAAGTCGATTCGGTTCCCTGAGGAAAAATCGTGTCGGGTAGTGCTATCAGAGAAATTAAGATGAGTTTTTTGTTAGATGCTGTATATTTCAATGCCTGTAATATAGCGTAAGCTTCTGCAGAGAATATGGGCCATTGATCTTTAAGCCTTCCAGATGCAATAATGGAGTTTTCATTTGGCGCAATGGAAAATTATGTATAAGCATCCATTTGTGATCCATCGGTGTATAGGAAAATCTCGTTTCGAGATAGGGTGTTGTTCAAGGCTGCTTGGAAGGTGCTTTGAAACACCCGCTCTTAATAAAAGATCCGTGAAATAAGAGTTGGGATCGAAAGCCAGACAGGAACTTCTTTTGGTTGAACTAGCATGGGAGAGAATTTTATATTTAACTCTTAAACACGTTTAATACATTTCTGAATTTCTGAGAGCTTTTTCGGTGTACATTTTCTCTTGAGTGCGGCGTTAACTATTTGAAACATAATTTTTTTGTTGCTAAATAAGAGTCTGGGGAGAAGTCACAGTGTTGACCACTTATTATGGAAATAATTAAAAACTTCCAAAGGGAACATATTTTTGGCGAGGCACGCCTTAAAAATATTTAATTTGTTCAGGTAGCTATTTCACACAAATTTTAATCAGGAGACCTTTAATGTAAAAAAATTACAATTTCATTGTAAATAATATGCCAACTGCCAATTGGGAACAAAGCAAACGAACAAGGGTTGTACATTTGGTACCTGATCGCGATCCCAATTCCCAATTGGCAGTTGGGCCCGCCGCCTTCAAAAAGGTATTTTTTGTGCATTTTTTCCATTTTTTAGGTTTGGTTAACGAATTTTAGCTCCAAAGTCTCTCCATAGATTTTAATGAGCGATACCTTAATCGACGCCAAATTAACGCACCTATACACAAAAAAATAGGGACAGCACACATAGATATAATTTTTTTTCGACTTTTCCTGAGTTTTTAAAGTCAAAATTTCGTAAAAAGTACCCCACAAAAATCATCATTTTTGCATTTCAATGCTTTATATTTCCCAGACGGTAAGCTGTAATCACAAAGTGTTTGGGCTTAACTTCTAGCTGTTTTAATTATCTTTTCAAAATAGCAAAGTTCTTTACAACCAGACGTAAGATACTAAAGTTATGTGAAAAAAACTATCGCTACCTCTGAAAAAAGCTAAAAAAAAAATACCAGATTTAAAAAATTCTGCAAAAAAAAGTTCTGCCATAGAAAAAAAAAAATATCATCAAACCATTTCTAAGCCCCAAATCTTTAATAAAAAGTTGGTTTTGTTCCTTGAGGAAAAATCGTGTTGAGCGTGTAACCATATCAATCGAAGAGATATCTCTGAATCGGTTTAGGATGAGTGAGAGTTAGTAGTTTCAATGCGCTCGTCGTTTATTGTTTTCGGTGTTTTTTGCCTTGTACACTTTTTTTGTCCGCGCCTAATGGGTCAGCGATTTTAGTTGTTTTTGTGGTTGGTTTAGAGGAGTTCGATTTTTATACCCGTACTCAAAAAAGAGTTAAGGGGTATATTAGATTTGTGGTAAAAGTGGATGTGTGTAACGCAGAGAAGGAAACGTTTCCGACCCAATAAAGTATATATATTCTTGATCAGCATCAATAGCCGAGTCGATATAGCCATGTCTGTCTGTCCGTCTGTCTGTCTGTCTGTCTGTCTGTCTGTCTGTCTGTCTTTCTCGATGAGCGCCTAGATCTCAGAAACTATAAGAGCTAGGGCAACCAAATTTGGTTTCCAGACTCATGTGATATCCCACTGCTACAAGTGTATTTCAGAATTTCGCCCCGCCCCCTTCCGCCCCCACAAAGGACGAAAATCTGTGGCAGGCACAATTTTAAAGATACGATAAAACTAAAAACGCAGTATCGTAGAGAATGCCCATATCTACCAGACTGCTGAATCTGAATTAGATCGGATCATAATTATAGCCAGAATGACGAAATTAATTTTCAGTTGCTTCCCCTGCCCCCCCTCCCACAAACGACAACGAAACTCATTTTCCTTCTCGCTCGCACACTCTGCCGCGTTCAGTGCGCGAGCAACCCCTAGCGGAAAAGATGTAGAATATGAATAGTACATCTATAATCTACATGTTAGATGTAAAATATACATTGTAGATGTAGATGTAGATAACAGATGTAGCAAAAAAATGTAATATGTAAAATTTTTTTTTTTAATTCTAAATTCTGAAAATCATATGCTCAAAAATGTAAATACTGACTGAGTACGGGTATAAGTAGAGTCGCGTCTTTAGAAGCGACTCACACGTTCCTTCTCGTTGATAATAAGTAGTGTTGTTTTTCTTCTCAGTGATTGGTTTTGTTTTTTTTTATGTCATTTGAAGTTAATTTTGGGTTAGTTTTTTGGATTTCGTTGCCTGCTACGTCAGCATATGAGCGGGCGGTAGTTGAATTGGGAGATTGGTTTAATGAGTTGTAGATTTGCAGTGGCAGTCGCCACATCTTTTGCGTCTTTTAGTTGATTTATAGATATAAATTCCTTGCTTATTAGCTCGACCGCTCGGTGGATTGCAAAGCATGAATAGTAGCTTACAGGTTTTCTTTCGTTTTTTGAACCGAGTACTATAAACATCGGATTTGGTAGTTGTATCGCTGGAAGTCCATGCAAAGACACAATTAGCTTGTAAAAAGTTTTTAGTTTTTTATGATTTGGGGGATCAGCAAGTAGAGCGAACAGTTCTCCCCCAGTTTATTTTGCGTAGGACTGACACAATCAGATCACAACAAAAGCGAACCATTTAAGAAAATAGTTAAGGAAAACGATAAGAAGCTTTTGGTTTAGAAGAAAACCAAACCACGCGCTTGAAGTTCTTGATAAATCGAAGGTTTACTTATATTTATATACTTACATTTTTACATTCTTTTTTATACCGCCGGTGACCGTTATGTGAGCGCTCAGCGTTTGCACGATTTCGGGCGTCGAGTAGCATGCAGTCGTCGTGCAGGCGGGTTATCATACGTACATATGTACATAAGTGTGTATTATGTGTGCATATATTAAATGAAGAAATTAATTTTATCGTAATAACATCTCCCAACAATTAATTTTAATCTTATCCCAATTGGTTATATTATCTAATAAAATCTTTAAAATAACCTGTATATGGTTTTATTTGTAGAAACGCTTGTGGAGCTCTTCGAAACCTATCCTACGGTAGACAAAATGATGAAAACAAGCGTGGAATTAAAAATGCTAGCGGAATAGAAGCGTTAGTTCATCTGCTTTGTCGTTCTCAAGAGACAGAAGTAAAAGAATTGGTAACTGGAGTGTTATGGAATATGTCTTCCTGTGAAGATATCAAGCGGTCAATTATTGATGAATCACTAGCTGCTATAGTCTGCAACGTTATAAAACCTCATTCCGGATGGGATCCAATTTGTTGTGGTGACACTTGTTTTTCTACAGTATTTCGAAATGCATCGGGAGTGTTGCGAAATGTCAGTTCAGCTGGAGAGCATGCAAGAGGGTGTCTTCGCAATTGCGAGCATTTAGTGGAATGTCTTTTGTATGTAGTGCGAGCTGCAATAGAGAAAAACAATATTGGAAACAAAACAGTAGAAAATTGCGTATGTATACTGCGTAATCTTTCGTATAGATGTCAGGAAGTAGAAGATCCGAATTACGATAAGCATCCTTTCATAACGCAAGATAGGGTTATCCCATCTTCGTCAAAGGGTAAAACAAAATAAATCATTTTAAAATTTCCATTTTTTAATATATTTTTGATTTCTAGGCGAAAATTTAGGATGCTTTGGAACAAGTAAAAAAAAGAAGGAAGTATCTGCTACTGAAGCTCTTCAGGACTATAGCATATCCACAGAGTATTCTAAAAGTTCAGTAACTAATAGCCAGATGAATAAGGGCTATGAACAATTATGGCAACCTGAAGTTGTTCAGTATTACTTGTCATTATTGCAAAGTTGTTCTAATCCAGAAACACTTGAAGCTGCGGCAGGAGCAATTCAAAATTTATCTGCATGTTATTGGCAACCCAGCATTGATATTCGTGCCACGGTGCGTAAAGAAAAAGGTCTACCTATACTGGTAGAGCTCCTTCGGATGGAAGTTGATCGCGTAGTCTGTGCAGTTGCTACTGCCCTACGGAATCTAGCTATTGATCAACGAAATAAAGAACTAATTGGAAAATACGCTATGCGTGATCTAGTCCAAAAACTTCCATCTGGAAATGTGCAGCATGACCAAAACACATCGGATGATACAATAACAGCTGTATTGGCTACAATTAATGAGGTCATAAAAAAGAACCCAGAATTTTCTCGTTCACTTTTAGATGCAGGCGGTATAGACCGACTTATGAATATATCGAGACGAAAAGAAAAATATACTTCTTGTGTAATAAAGTTTGCTAGTCAAGTTTTGTATACGATGTGGCAACATCACGAACTCCGAGACGTCTACAAAAAAAACGGTTGGAAAGAGCAAGATTTCATTAGTAAAAATTTTACTGCACATAACACTCCGCCAAGCTCACCAAACAATGCCAATAACACACTTAACCGACCAATGGCATCTCAGGGACGTACGCGCTATGAAGACAGAACAATTCAGCGTGCAACTAGTGCTTCGTATAGGAATAATGACTCTAGTGGAGCCGTTATGTCAAATAATGAATCAGCCTTGCTTTCGGAAATGGTTAGAAAACAATTATAGAATGTATATTTGGTCGTTAATTATTTAAATAGTATTAGATACACGTGAAGTATTTAAATCTTAAATTATTCTTAAACAATACAGTGTTTCTTTTACATTAACATATAAGTTTTTATAGCATATGCCAATACATATTGTAAAGGATTATATTCATTATACATCTGGTACTCTAATCTGATTACATAATAAATACACTAAGATATATCCATGTACGTTGAGAGTATTTTTATTGCTACATAACTTTATCCTTGTAACACAGAGTAAGAAGGACCTCTGATCCAATATTATCGCCTTACCTATAATTCCATTAATCAGCATTAACAATTGATTGAATTTTTAAAGAGCTACTCAAATTTTTGATTCAATATCATGGTTGTTGATGAGAATTAGGTATTTTCATTTAATTTTTGGTTTCGATAAATAGAACATAAGAAAAATTATTTATTGACATAAAAACAATGTGTAATGTGTAATTTTTTCCAATATATATTTATTTTATCTAGAAGTACGTCCGACAGAAAAGTATTCCTCTACTTTCCCAGTGGTCCATTTAAGTATTTTTGGGTATGAATGGCAGGGTTGGGATGTCACGATGGCAGTTATTTTCAAAATCCTATTTTACTGCTTGCAGTATAGATTTGCCTTAGAATATTTTTGTATTAGTTTTGTAAAAAAAATTTAGTTTGTAATATTTTCGCGTGGAACTGGCGAGCCGCAGGTTGCCGACGAAAAAAACCATCAGGTTAGGTTAGGTTAAGGCGGTTGTTGGAGAGAGGTTGAAATCCCCCGCCCAGGTGGTCTGAGTAACGAGTCCAGTTTGTCCGCCTGAGGTTCCGGAATTGGATTGGACTCGGTATGGAGAAAGAGAAGACAGTTTCTATGTACCTGTGGTCCGAGTAGGAGTGTTCTTTAAGGACCCTCCAGGATACTATGTTATTCTGTATCGTGTGAGAGGCAAGTGTGAGGTCCAGGACCTTCTCGCGATTTTTAATAATAAAGGCGATGGCTTTCACCGTGCTTTGGTGCCACCCGGCTGGACCATAGCCTCTGCTCCAACCCCTTTTCCGACGACTTTAAATCCAGGTCATCGTTGGACAGGATGAAAGCAGCGCACCTCCTGTCTGTGGTGCAGTAACTCTGTCTGCCGAGGTTGACGGGGGTTCCTCGGTTCCTCGCATCGGTAGCTGCTAGAAGACGGCGGACCGACTGAGTCTCCTTCCCTGACTTCTTAGAACCTGGATTCCCAGGCGTTGATGAAGAAGGATTGGCTTTTCCCTCCGGTACTTTAGGAGGAGTACCGAGCTTCTTTGCGGTTGTTATACCCGTACTCAAAAAAAAGTTAAGGGGTATATTAGATTTGTGGTAAAAGTGGATGTGTGCAACGCAGAGAAGGAAACGTTTCCGACCCCATAAAGTATATATATTCTTGATCAGCATCAATAGCCGAGTCTATATAGCCATGTCCGTCTGTCCGTCTTGATGAGCGCCTGGATCTCAGAGACTATAAGAGCTAGAGAAACCAAATTTGATTTCCAGACTCATGTGATATCACACTGCTACAAGTGTATTTCAAAATTTCGCCCCGCCCCCTTCCGCCCACACAAAGGACGAAAATCTGTGGCAGGCACAGTTTTAAAGATACGATAAAACTAAAAACGCAGTATCGTAGAAAATGCCAATATCTACCAGATTGCCGAATCTGAATCAGATCGGATCATAATTATAGCCAGAATGAAGAAATTAATTTTCAGTTGCTTCCCCTCCCCCTCCCGCCGCCGACAACGCATCTCATTTTCCTTCTCGCTCGCACATTCTGCCGCGTTCAGTGCGCGAGCAACCCCTAGCGGAGGAGATGTAGAATCTAATTGGAACATGTAAAATCTACATGTTAGATGTATAATATACATTGTATATGTAGATGTAGATATCATATGTAGCAAAAAAATGTAAAATGTAAAATTTTTTTTTTTTCTAAAATTCTTAAAAATCATAAGCTCAAAAATGTATATACTGACTGAGTACGGGTATAAGTAGAGTCGCGTCCCCAGAAGCGACTCACACGTTCCTTCTCGTTTTTGTATGTTTAGAATTTGACATGTTTGGTCTCACGAGTAGGCGGGAAGGGGATAGGCACCCGAGGCATAGCTCGCTTTCCCCGGGAAGCCTAATTTAAACTGGAGGTCGGCAGGTATCCAGAGTTCGCATATACAGCACCGAGCTCCCCCTTGGCTACGCATCCATTAGCATATCCTGTTTCACCGTGGATTGTGGTAATTTCACTACGAGAGTTTTCTTCTCTCCGCCCGACTATAATTAGCCAGCATCCGTGGCAGAGACTTGACCGTACCAGGACCTGTTTCCAGCCGCCCCCACGAGGAGAGTATAGTCGCACTTCCACTGGTGTGTACAGTTACGGCGGGTGACGGGTCGCTCGTGATCCACCACCATCCTAGAAACCAGGAGCAAGGCCGCGGACTTGGACCAAGGAATGGACCAAGGGTCCAGTTATGGCGAGACAGCCCTTCATCCGTTAGTGCGAATGGCTGACGGCCAAATTAAACTGTTGAAGTACCTTAAAAACAGGTCGGTCAAAATAATTGTAGTGAATTTTTACATAAAAGACTACGGTCTAATAAAAATGTTTGAGAGTGATCTTTATATCTAATACTAGGGGGAAAGCCCCCTGCTCACTCGCTTCGCTCGTTCGCCAACCCCCAAGTTTTCTAAAGTTATTAATTTTTCTTTATTACAAATTTATTTTTTTGTTTTAAGTTTGTATCGTATTATTTATATCTAACATAATCTCGTATATGATGATCCCTAATTTAAAATGTTTGCATGAGGTAATCCTCGCTTTCGCCTTTCAACTTAATACATCCATCATTTTTTTTGAATACACGTGCTGTGATGTCATGACGATGCATTGAGCCTTGGCCTGTTAATTGTAAAGAAGTTTTCTGCTGCCACTTTGGATAACATGTGAACGTTATAAATAAACACAGTCGTCCGCACTCCCGCAAAAAAAAAACATAGCATCCTGTATGTATTCTTGCATATGACGTGGATATTAAATCATAGAGTTACCAGTTTACGGTTTCGCCATTGTTGCCATCCATATTCGCCATCCAGATTATTGTTTCTTCTTTGGATCACAATTTCTCGAGTCGCTGTGCGATCGCCAACTATAATACCAGCAACGTCGTGAACAACAGGAGCATTGAATTTTGGTACGTGCTCAGCATCTTATGTTGTATCAGGATTTATGGCAATAGCGTGATTGTCACTGATTTCAATAATTCATTGTGCTGATTAAGTAATTCGTCCAGGTCTCAAACTATACGCCTGGATTTTGCCGTATTGAGGTTATGGTAGCCACAACTTGCATCTACACTATTGGCGAGTGCGCACCCATGAAGTATATTTGTAAAAACTGATGTGCTTCGTTTAGGCATTGGCTGCAATGTGGTACACTTGTTCTTTAATTTTAAATGTGGAACTGTATTGTTGACCATTTTCCGCAATTTTCCAATTAGAATAGTTTTTCTAACTAAAAAAGACCGAAAAAACTGTTGGTGGCGTTTAAAGATTTATTGCGCTCGCGCCTTGCCCTAACCTACTTACACTAGACTTCAAACAATTCAAAATAGTCTTAACATAAAACATTTACTACGACGATGACATGAAGAAACACCGGCCCCGTTGATGGCCTGCGTGGCTTCAACACATGGGTAGCGGCGCCAAATTGTGGATGGCACGCAGAAAAACGCCTACATTCAGGACGGCCTTGATCCCGACGAGGACTGTAGCGAGCTCTTCGGCGGTCAAGAGCGCGCTGTCTACCGCCCGTAGGAGTAGGCTCTTCGCAGACTTTACACCTGCCTCCCAGAGTCCTCCCATGTGCGGCGCTCGAGGCGGTATGAACGCAAATTCGCATCCGTTTCTTGACGCGAATTCGCGAACTGCGTCCGCCTCGTCCTCGAGCGCCTTCTGCAGAGCGCTGAGGTGGCGGCTCGCTCCGACGAAATTCGTCCCGTTGTCGCAATGGACGATCTGGGGATATCCTCGGCGCCCAACAAACCTTTGGAAAGCCAATAAAAGAGAGTCAGTAGTCAATATAGGATTTGTATGGGGGCCTTCCTCGAATTTTCAATGCCGCAAATTGAAAATGTTCGGAGAGTACAGAGCCGGTCTGCGGGTAAATTTCCCATAAGTTGCGTCAGCAGTCGATTTGCATTGCATTGCATTTAAAGCAGCTGATACATGATCGAACTGTCTGACTGCAGACCCCTTGAGCGTTTATGATCCAAACACTCTGTCGAAGGAGAGAAATGAAAATTTGTATGGTGCAGATGACGAATAAAGCTTCGCATGAATTGCGAGCGCTTCGTCAAAAGCAACGGAAACTTGGCATCGTATGATATAGGAGCTTTAGCTAGTCGCCCTCCTACTCTCAACAACGAAAAAGTACACCAAGTACCAGTGTCTTCATGGATGAATGGTTTCAACCGCTGAAGTCTAGGACCAACTCTAGATCCTTTCCGAACTTTCTCGATTTCTTCACGATGCTCGTGATGTGTAGTGGACAGTTTGCGGGAGGTAAAATGTCAATTGTAGTTGGGAGTTTACAGAGGTAAAATGTCAAATGTAGTTGGGAGTTTACAGAGGTAAAATGACATTAATTTGGCAATAACGCATAATGTATGAGAGGCAAGAGAAGAGCGAGAACGACGAAATGTCAAAAATGACATCTCTCTTCTCTTGTGAGATCTACTTGGGGGCATTGAGCAGCGCAGTAAGCGGACAGTAGTTCTTTTTACTTCCAATCACTCTACGGAGCAGACGTATCAGTGCATATCAAGGAAACGAGAGACAACTTGCATACCAAACAAATTTAAATCCAAGAAATTCCGAAACATCAGGGATCCGTTTGTTTAATTAAACTAATAAATCGAAGAGGGAAAACAATTAAAATCAGTGTATATACATATTTTGATGGTGAGTGTTAATTTGGTGGAAAAACTAGGCAGTT